CCAGCTTCAACATGAGACGAATGAGACTGAATGGTGGGAGGAGCCCAACGGACTCAACGGACGCACGGTTGAGACGGAGATCGCTGTTGGCGAGCAGTCGCGACTGTTGGCGTTGGATGGCAAGACGGGTGGAGAATAGCAGACTTCTGAATTTGCGCAGGACAAGGCAAGTTGACCTGAATTTGTGAAAGTACGAGGCAAGTGGCCTGAGGAGAGGTTTGTCGAGAAAAGAGAGATAGTCGGAGACTGGAAGCACAGTCAACACCAAGAGAAAGACGAACGAATGGGCTGTTGGGACACAGAGTGTGTCTGACAGAACATGTGGAGACTGTGGTAAACTCAGTGCAGGATGGTTAACCGAAGAACAAGTAGAATCTGAGGGAGGGAGCGCATGGACGAGTGAAGCGATGTACGGTGAGAGCGGACAGGGGAAGAAGAGTACCCGAGTTCACTGTGGTGGCCGTGCACGAGTAGGTTAGGCGCCGTAGGCATACGCCAAAGTGGCTTTGAGATTGATCGTGATCTGGGTCGTCCCAAGACGTCACGGTGCTTCGACGAAGACGTGTGGGAACTGAATGGAGACTATATGTTCGCAAACGAGAGACGAAAGAACGAAGAACAAGTCTCTATTAGCAGACTTCGATTTGATAAGGAGAAAGAATACAAATGTAGGAGCCATAGGTTTCGGCACAGGGCTCGAGTGAACATCTGTTGGCCAGTGACGTCTTGTAGTGTTATCAAGTATCAATTACGGACTAGGGACAAACAGTGCAGCATGCACGGAACCTATACCATTTCCCAAGCGAATCGGGCAGAAGGAATTGCAACTCGTTACAATATCAATGGCCATCCCTGGATATATAAACGTATACCCTTTACCAATTAGAAGATACGAAATATAAATACCCGGCTTCTTTTTCTTGGAAAATGAAACTCTAATCGTGTGGTGAAGCAGATTCAGAATATTTCGAGATTGGGCGCTATCAGTTCCCATCAATCAAGATCGACCAGCACCCATTATGGCGATCTTGGTGTGGTCCACGTCAAACCTGGCCAAACCGATGGCGATCTCAAGTGTGGTATACATCACACCCGCCCAAGCCGATTACACCCACGATTTATCGAGTCTGCGAGGTATTATGCGATCATGAGGTAAATGACCCATGATCATGACCCGCCAGTGGCGTAAACAGCCGACCAAAGAGCCAGCGATACCCGGGAATTCGAGGTAGTTACAGAAGGCGTTCAAGAGCCACAGCTTTTGACACAGGACGAGGCTAACCCATTATACAGTGTTAGTTTTACTTCTTACTTAGCAAGTATTCTTCGTCTTCGCTATTCCGGGCACGAAATTGACTTTGGCCCACCTGACGACGCGCTACAGACGTGCCTACGCACGATTGAAGTTCGAGCACCTGGATTGCTTGCCCACGACGCTCGACAAATACCAACCGCCAAAGGAAGCGGCAAGCTGATAAAGGAAGAAAGGAAGGAAGGCGATTAGCCGACCGTACGATACCCCAGTATGCTTGTATTACAAGACTGTGTGCTATTTACAGCTTTTTTTCAGCGTTCTATCGCTATTTTATGCATTTAGCTGTTAGAATGTACACTCGAAAGTTCCTATTACCATGTTTAACGCACGTACTGACTGATCTAATTGAAGCTGAGCAACACTTCAACTGAGAACGGCGTCTGTTCGCTTCGCATCGTCTATGAAGTAACTAGTTTTATGTTTAGACATGCCTATGCGGAA